GGGCTTCCCTGGTGGCGCAGTGGTTGAGAGTCCGCCTGCCAATGCAGGGGACACGGGTTCGTGCCCCGGTCCGGGAAGATCCCACATGCCGCGGAGCGGCTGGGCCCGTGAGCCATGGCCACGGAGCCTGCACGTCCGGAGCCTGTGCTCCACAACAGGAGAGGCCACAACAGCGAGAGGCCCGCGTACCACCCAAAACAAAAAAAAAACAAACAAAAAAAGCACAAAGAAGTGTGTGTTTGAGGCATTTCCTGACTCCTTCTGCCCAAACGCTTCTGCGTGTTATTATGGTAAGATGACACCTATGCATCTGCGTTATGTGATGTGCGTAAGGGAAGGGGCAGGATACCGTCCAGGCAGATGATGCTGCTGGGAGCAGTGAGCTGGGCGTGGGGTCTGTGTCCGCCCCACCAGCAGGGGCCGCTCACCTGCAGTGCACGGTGATGGGGTGGTCGCCCGTCTGCTGCTGCTGCTTCTGCACGGCCGCAATGAGGTCGATCATGCCTTTGCCCTCGGCGGGGATCCCGATCTCCGGCCAGCCGTGGAAGTGGAACTGTCGCACGACCCGGGTCTGCTCCTCCTGGCGGGCCAGGGGCTGCCGGGCGGGAAGGGCGCCTCAGTGCTGCCCCACCGCAGGCTTCCCTGCCCTCCCGGGGACTCGGGCCACGGTGTCTGGCGGCCAGCAGAGTTCCCAGCTGGCTGGCCTCCCGGTCAGGGTGTTTGTAGGCCGTGGCCACCCTAAAGTAGAAGGCCAGCAGTGCCTCCTTCTGGGTGGGGGTAGGGCACTCAGAGGATACGCCCCCGAGTCCCCAGGGCCCACCAGACCCCTCTATGGGATCCTTGGCAGTTTTGCTTGAGCTAACGGGAATCATCCCTTTTTTCGAGAAGCCAGGACCCTACACGTCCCTTCAAGGCTGGAGATGAGCAGTTTCTGAGTGAAGCCGCCCTGGGTCGTTCTGTGACCCGTGTAGAGGATAACTAACTAGTCTTTGGGCAAAGCTGGGTTTCACTGTTCTGACCGCCTTGAGCTCAGAATCAAATCCCACACGTGGGTCATCTTACCCACAGTTGACACACAGTGTCCCCATTCTTGCCAGGGAGCAGTGCCCAAGACCCGGTGGGGAGGGGGGATGGCAGAGAGCCCCAGAGAGGCCTCTGTGGATTCATCCATTCATTCCTTCTGCTCTCGGCCACGGCCTTTGCTCCTGGGGAGCGGGTGGCGGTGGGATGCCTCTCGGAGTTGGCCGCTTTGCCCCACCATCCCCGTGCTCCAGCAAGGAGGCAGGGGACCACGGAGCTCAAATCCTATGGGAGATCGGCCACTTGATAACACAGCTTCATACTGTCCTCACTGGCCGTCAATACTGATCTAACTTGGGGCTCTGGAAAAGCCTGAAGGAGCAGGACATTCTGGCACAATGACAAGCAGACCCCGAGTGATGTCCACAAGAGATTAAAGGGCTTTGGCAACAATACCTGATTGAAAGTGACCAGGAAGTCTCGTATACTGATGGCTTCAGAAAGGGTATCGCTCTTTATTTCGATCGTTATTTCTCCATGAGTCACTGAGCCCTCTGTCGGCCAATACTGGTAGCATTTATCCTTGGGGGATAACATAAAAAGAATTTGCTGCTAGCAGTTTTGAAGATCTGGTGCAGAATTGCTCTCAAAGCATTTAATGTTATTTCGCCTGACCAAGAAAATAACATATGAACACGAATATGAATGCTACCAGTGCCTGTTGACCAAGGGAACAGAGCAGAGTCCAGAAACAGACATGCGTGTATTTGCAACTTTGATACAGAACAGAAGTGACATGACACAGAGGAGAGACTAGTCAGTAAATGGAGCTGGGAAATCAGTTCTCCATATGGGAAAAGGGAACTGGATCCCTGACTCACACCCTACCTGGGCTGATATGAATGAATGTCCCAGCCCCTCCTGGAGTTGGGCAGCATAGAACTTGCCCTACCATATATGGTAGCCTTGAACCTTAATAAAAACAAACCAAGACAGGGTCAGACTTAACGTCAAAAACAAAACTGTGAAAGCCTTAGAAGAAGAAAATACCTTTTCATTTTGGGGTACAGATTTAACAAACAAGAGCCGCAAAGAGCAAACCAACCATGATACAGCAGATTGCAACATCAGATTATAATAAAATTAACTCTGCGTCATCCAAAAATATCAAGAGAATGAAAAGACAGACCATCAGCTGGGATGAAATATTTGCAATACGTAAAACCAACAAGGGATCAGTACCAAGAATACGTAAAGAAATCCTATAAATCAGTAAGAAAAGGGCAAACAACCCACGAAAAAAATGAGTGAAAGGCATGAACAGGCACTTTGCACAAGGCGAAACATCTCCTCTATAAATATGCATAGTGATTCCTGACCTCACAGGGATCAGAGAGGTGCAAATCAAGGACACAAAGAGATGATATTTATACCTATTTAATTAACAAAAATGAGGACATCAGACAACCCTAGGGATGTCGATGAATGATATTCACCCACTGACCACTTTGGAAACCACAACCACTTGGGAAAGCCATTAGGAAATGTCTTGCAAATTCAAACTTTCACACACACTCTCCAATGCAGCATTTTGTCTCTTTGGAACCTACTATTCCTTGTGCATCATGAGACACGTACAAGAAAGTACCCGCAGCACTGTTTGTAAAACAACAGAATAGAATCAACCCAAATGCCCATGACAGGAGAAGGGGCAAGTCAATGGACGCAGGATGTACAGTTTGTGTCGTGGAGTATAAGGAAATAATGATGAATGAGCCACAGTTATAGGCAGCAACACAGGAGAATATCAAGTGCATAATTTTGAGTGGAAAAACCAACGCAACTTTTTTTTTTTTTTTTTTTTTTTTTTTGTGGTATGCAGGCCTCTCACTCTTGTGGCTTCTCCCGTTGCGGAGCACAGGCTCCGGATGCGCAGGCTCAGCGGCCATGGCTCACGGGCCCAGCCGCTCCGCGGCATGTGGGATCTTCCCAGACCGGGGCACGAACCCGTGTCCCCTGCATAGGCAGGCAGACTCTCAACCACTGCGCCAACAGGGAAGCCCCCAACTCAACTTTTGAATAAAGTTCAAAAGCAGACAAAACTAAACAGTTGTTTCTTTAGGAATACACACACGTGATATAAAAAGATTTTTTAAAAAGCTAAGAACACATCTTCTAGGGTGGCTTTAATTGAAAAGATAATGTTAAGTGTTGATGAGGATGGCGAGAAAATGGAACCCTCATGCATTGTTGGTGGGAATGCAAAACGGGGCACCTGCTCGGAAAGCAGTCTGGCAGTTCCTCCAAATGTGAAGTGATATGAGTTTGCAATATAGTCATGATATGGTCCAGCAATTCCACCCCTAGGTATCTACCTAAGAGAAATTAAAAGTTGACATTCATGTAAAAACGTGTCCATGAATGTTCAAAACATTATTCATAATAGCCCGAGTGAAAACAACGCAAATATCCATCAACTAAGGAATGAATAAACGAAATGTGGTATATTTATACAATAAAAAGTAAAAAAGAGCGAGGAACTGATTCACGGATGAACCCTGACAACATTTATGCTAAGTGAAAGAGCTCAATCACAAAAGACATGTATGATTCCACTTATATGAAATGTCCAGAAGAGGCAAATCCATGGAGTCAGAAAGTAGATTTGTCGTTGCAGGGACTGCAGGGAGGAAGTGGGTAAGTGAATTTTTTGTGGGTGTGGGGTTTCTTTTTGGGGTGATGAAAATGATCTGGAATTAGTGATGTTGCACAACACTGAATATACTAAAAACCACTGAATTGTACCCTTTAGAAAGATGAATTGTATGGTATGTGAATTATATCCCAACAAAACTGGTTTTAAAAAGCAAAGAAATTAAAAAACACAAATTCAGGACAGTGGCTACCTCTTGGGAGAGCATCTGGATAAATGTACATTATTGGCAAAAGTTTGGTTTTTCAGCTGGATGGTGGGTTCGTGACTGTTTATTACGTTATTAAATAAAAACAAGAAGGCCTGGGCTTCCCTGGTGGCGCGGTGCTTGAGAGTCCGCCTGCCGATGCAGGGGACGCGGGTTCGTGCCCGGTCCGGGAAGATCCCACATGCCGCGGAGCGGCTGGGCCCGTGAGCCATGGCCGCTGAGCCTGCGCGTCCGGAGCCTGTGCTCCGCAACGTCAGAGGCCACAACAGCGAGGGGCCCGCGTACCGCCAGAAAAAAAAAAACAAACACCAAACAAGAAGGCCATGCATGGATCTTTGGGAAAAAAGAAATGTTTAACTCATTCAGTTTTACCAGAACTATATTAATTAGGTACATATATCAATACCTATGTCATTCTGTTCCAAGAAAAAGTGAATAAATGTCTTTTTCTTCAACAGGTTGTGACCAAATTTGTATTTGTGGCAAACACAAGATGGCAGAATTTCAACGCAGGTTAAATAAAATGTAGGCTAAGAATAAGGCCAGTGGGCAGTTACGATTAACTTGTGGTGGGCGTGGTGATGAAATAAAACCTTTTTCATTTCCAGCCTCTCCCCCTCCTCAGTAGCTGTGGCCTGGCCTCACAGATGACAGCGGGTGAGACATTCACAAGGGACAGGTAGTCACATCAGGTGGGCTGCACCTGGTGTGTGTTCACGGCCCCACAGGTGGGCTGGGCGGCGCCCTGACCTGCTCTCTCTCCTGGACCTCGGTCAGCATCACGATCGCATGGCACTTCCACTCCCAGACCATCCTCCAGAAGTCCTCCACCGTGTGCGCCAGGGGCCCCTGGGTGGCGATGAAGTGACTCTTCTGCCGGTAGCCCTTCAAATGGGAGCAGAGGTCAAAGTTCGACTTCCTTCCAACCCATTTCCACCGTGGGACATGGGAGTGGAGGACAGCCTGGGGCCGGATGACGGACAGTATTGTCCAGGCTTCCAGGGCCTGAGCCAAACTCCAGCTGGCACACGCTCAGAAAACAGGTCAAGATGCCCAAGCTAGACAGCCCCCCTTCAGCCCCAGGTCACCTCTGAATGGGTATAATGAACCCCTTGCTTGGGCTGGCTTTGATTCTAACATGTCTGTATGTGTCACAGCTAAGTTAGCATCGCAGTGGGGCAGCGAGCCTGGGCATGGAGTTAGAGGAAGTGGGTTCAAGTCCCAGGTCCTCCCCTCGGGCCCAAGTGAGCCCTGGCACAGCATTCTCATCTGCAAACAAAATCCCTTGCACAGACTTGGCTGCTATGCTCTCTCCTGCCCATTCATCAGCTAACTCTGCTATGCACTAAGCAGCCTAAGACTGGGCCTGAACACAATCGTGCTGTCTACGCACAGCACATGCAAGAGAAAGCGTGTGCAAGCACTGATAGAGGGTGGTGTGCAACAGAGAGGTAAAAGGGAAGTCACTATGTATTAAAAGCAGAATGGAGGGCTTCCCTGGTGGCGCAGTGGTTAAGAATCCGCCTGCCAATGCGGGGGACACGGGTTCGAGCCCTGGGCCGGGAAGATCCCACATGCCGCGGAGCAACTAAGCCCGTGCGCCACAACTACTGAGCCTGCGCTCTAGAGCCCGCGAGCCATAAATACCGAGCCCGCGAGCCACAACTACTGAAGCCCACGCACCTAGAGCCCGTGCTCCACAACAAGAGAAGCCACCGCAATGAGAGGCCCGCGCACCGCAACGAAGAGTGGCCCCCACTCACCGCAACTAGAGCAAGCCCGCGTGCAGCAATGAAGACCCAACACAGCCAAAAGTAAATAAATTAATTAAATAAATTTTAAAAAAAAGCAGAATGGAAAAATAGCAAATTATTTAGCAGCGCACCTACATCCTCTATTTCCAAAGTTCCTTATTCATTTTCTTTAAGCAAGTGTCTGCTAATGAAATGGTTTGGATTTCTGTGGGCGTGTCCATCCTTTCTGATTGTGAAAGCAAGTTGATCAAGAGTCTCTGTGATTACAGATGAAGAGAGCATGCGTCCTCGCCAGGCACGCAAGCAGGGCCGGGCCGCTGCACTTACGTCTATAAAGGACGCGTTGATGTAATCCGTGTACTCCTGGCCCCTTTTCATGGAGAGGATGACGCGGTTGAAGTCATCTGCAAAGCAGTGCGTCCCCTGGGTCAGAACCAACCCCATCCTGCCTTGCAAACTTGAACATGCTGCTAGGAGCTTCCGAGACATAAAACTTATGGATAAAATCACTGAAAAAAAGTCAACTCATCGGAAGGTTCACTTTCTAAGATGGGTTGATTCAAGTGGCCCAGGGAAGTTGTGTTTTACCAGGGAAGTTCTAAAGTAATCCACTTATCGTTCTCATTTGTCATAAGTCGAGGTAATTCTTACCAGAATGTAAGCATTGAAGTAAATTCAAAGAGTGAAAGGAGTGTGTGGCCAGGCAGGCGACCCGGGTAGCCGGCCGGGGACACCACAGCCTCAAAGACCCTACGGTCTGAGGCTGAAGAGGTCTTGCTCAGCCCACACACTGCCTGCCTGGGCAGGTCCACGTGAGATCCGCTGCTGCCCGAGCTTGCGTCCGGGCGGGGAGATGGAGGGGACGTCTGGATGAGGCGTCCTCTTCCCCCTCGAGGCAGGTGCCCTCCCCTTCCCCCCAGGGCTCCTCTGACGCTCCTGCAGGCCCCCAGACCCCGGGCAGCCCAGTGCCCGATGCCACCCCGCCCACGGATCGCCTGTCCCCGGGCCCCTTCCTGGAAGGTCTCAGCTGAGTTTGGTCCTGCTGCACATCCTGGGCCCAGACCCCCGCTCTGTGTACGGGGGGGCTCCATGCCTCTGCCCAGGCTCGGGGGAGAACTGGATGACATGCAGAAGCAGGAGGCACTGAGTCAGGCCAGAATCTCACCGCTTCCAGGAAGTCCTCCCTCTCCTGCCTCCAAGCCCAGGTCACAAGCTGCCCGCCTGACACCCACAGGACTGTCTGGGTCACTCGTGCCTTCCCCACACTTGACAGAGGTCCCAGAGGGCGCCCTGCCCTTGACCCCTGGTTTACAGCGGTTTACACGGACTTCTTAGCAACTGAAGCCAGAGGGTACCAGCCCGATGGCGCCTGCCACACGCGCTCCCGCTCCGCGGCCCGGCCGCCTTACACGGGATGATCTGGATGACCCTGGCCTTCCTCATGTTAGCCGGCAGGTTGCCCGTCCTCATGCTCTCCTTCATGATCCGGACGTTTGTCAGTTTCTGCGGCCAAGAGGACACAGCCACGCAGTTACAACCCGGACGTTCCCGAGAGACCACTCAGCCTTCTAACAGCCCTACCGTCAAGGGCACCTGCTCAATGGAAATAGCTGCCTGCTTCTCCAGACAGTTCCTGAGTCTTGGGAAATTAAAGTGTATGCGCGACACGCCCCCTGCACAGGTGGTTGCTAAGCTCTGAAAGTGCCCAGTATTCCTCCCTCGGAATTCACGGGCAGGACGGCTCCCCTGCGTTTTCTGGGGTCCGTCGAGGGGGGAAGCAACTGAAAGCAGCTTCGTGTAAATGGTGGTCCTTACAAGTCGGCACCTACCCGGAACTCCTCCTCCAGCCCGGCCTGCTCGAAGTGGGTGGTGGCGCCGTGCAGCGTCTGCAGGTGCTTTTCCAGGGAGGACACGTCGAGCTCGGTGTCCCCATAGAGGCAGTACTCCAGTAAGGCTTGGTAGATGAACGTGTACTGCATCTGCGGGGAGACGCGGGTGGGCTCCAAGGGGGCCCTTCTCTTCTCTTTGTGTAAAGGGGAGGGGGTTTGGGGGCAGAGTCAGATTAATGGCCATTTATAACGAGCATCTACGGCCCTGACAGTGTGACGGCGGGCGTCACTGAGGACGTTCTCCCTGCCGGGCACCACTCTGCGTGCACCATCTTGGGGAGAGGGCATACATCCTGGGGCGTCTGGGTTTGCTGTGCGAAGCTCACACCAGGGCGGGCAGCTGGGCCCGGGGAGGGTATTACTCACGTCCGTCTGAACCATCTGAGGCCGCTGATTGCGGATTCTGGACACGAAATCAAAGACGTCCACCTTCTGCTCGGCGTGTATCATGTCCATCATGGCATCGATCACTATGAAGGTGCCTGTCCGGCCCACGCCCGCGCTTGGGGAGAAAGAAAGTCGCCAAGTCGTGAATCACACTTCCCTGAAATGAATGACAGGGCCTCGGAACGCGCCTGCAGCCTGGACGGGAGGACACCCCGCCCTCCACAGAGACTTCCACTTCATCCCTGAACACAAACTTTCCTCGGTTAATAAAGAGCAAATCCACGCGAGGCCACCAGAGGGCGCCACAATCTTAGTGAAAAGACCTCAAATCTCTCCCTCTACCTGGAAATTGTGTCCTAAGCCCCGGGTAAGTTGTACAGGTAATTTTTCCTCTATTACCAAATGTCGTCTTTTCCTCATCAGTTGTGTAATTGGATTTTTTATTGTCATGCTTGATATGGCTTTTCCAGGCTCTTCATAAGAATGGAGAACCCCAGGCCAGGTCTGCTGGCCCTGGAGCCAAGGTCATGCAAATGGGGGCTCTGTCTGGGATCCTAGCCCTCACCTCCGGGCTGGCTGGGGCCAGGTGGTCCTTAGGGGCTCCACTGAGAGGTCTCCCGCCTCAGGAAGCTGCCCGAATCCATTCCTGGGTTCGGGTTTCCTTCCCTCCCAGCGCTGTCCCCGCAGCAGTCTCTGGACATCTTCCCCACTGCCACCCCACCTGTCTCATCTAGACACCCACCAGCCAGTGCAGGCCGTCCATATGTGTCTCCCCAACACCCAGGGCTCAGGGGGCACACAAATGGACTCAGCCAACATCCGCTGGACGAATAAACCCCTAATGGCCCAGACTCATATGTGCGGCGTCAACCAGAACTGCACGTGGCGGCCCAGGGTGTCTGTCGGGTTAGTTGGCTGAACAGGGCTTTCCCCCTCTGGCCCCTGCAGCCAAAGTGATCTTTTAAACGAAAAGGCTCACAACTTAATGAATGAAGTCCCCCACCCTGTTCCTCTTTTTGGGGGAAGGGTGGTACCA